CAGGTATGGACGTTCAGATTTATTTGTGTGTGTGTGTGTGTGTGTGTGTGTGTGTGTGTGTGTGTGTGTGTGTGTGTGTGTGTGTGTGTGTGTGTGTGTGTGTGTGTGTGTGTCACATCAATATATTTTTTTTAAAATAAGGAGAATGCACATTGAGCGAACGTGACCCAGAATCTAAATTAGCTTTTTGAATTACGGTTCAATTATCAGTAGACTCGGGGTCATTGTCTTATTAGGAAAGGTTACAAGGAAAACTTGGACGGTGGCCATGTGGTTCAGCCTTTTTCTTGTGACGCCGACCAGGGTTCGATCCTAATTATGTTATGTGTAGTTCATTAGGGATGTACCCCTTCGTTATGTTGCTGGAACATTGCTAAAACCGGCATCAACCTCTACCTGCTGACTACAAGAAAACTATACAGTTTAAACACGACCTCGACAAGGCGCCTGCTAATAGTTACTGATGTATAAAGACCTCTTGAAATTAAACCACATCTCATTACACTGACGACCTCGCCTATACTCCCTACACTGTGGAAATAGGAAGGGAGGGAATCTCTACCGAAAGCTGAATAGATTGTATGATTCCGACTGTATCATGAATATATATATGTGTTCATGAATCACTATGAAACTGTAAAAAATAATGTTATAATACCAGTTGTCGCCAAGAGGTGAGCGTATCCTGCCCCACCGGTGGCACCCATCACAAACACATGCAAAGGCATTCAATTGTTCACCTAAAGTAACACGGGAACACATGGTACAAGTCAAAATAGGGAATTGCATGGGACATCATTTTTGTCAGTGATACGTCAAATTTGGAAATATCATATCTTCCATAAAAAAATGAAAGCTCTACTGAGGCCTTCAGTGTTGTAACCCTAATAAAAAAACTGAGCAAGAGTCGTATAGAATCTTGATGGGGGATCATGTTCCATTATACCTCAAAATGTGTAAAATATGGACACCACTGGAGATGCAGGAAATGTTTGCCTGACATGAAGGGAAATAACTATATAATCTCTACGTGTGTAGAAATGTGAAGGGAGATCATGACAGAAAAACAATGCAGGAGCTGCAGGATTGCTACGGAAGGCAAGTTTTATCACAACTCAAAAACACAAGACAGGAGGCACCTGGCTCAGGTACGTCCCCATTGATATTCCAGTTTATCTCCAAAAAGCGCTTACTCATCTTGCTGTGTCATTTTATATATACAGTACTACGGTTATAACGAACACGCTTATAACGAACTGACGGATATAACGAACTTACTTTTTGGTCCCGACTATTTGCCGTTGTTATGCTGTACATATGCTTATAACGAACCGCGGTTATAACAAACTAAATTAGTAGTCACTTTGAGTTCGTTATAACCGTAGTTTACTGTATAATGTTAATGACTTGTTTTGCTCATGTACCACCGCTGGTGGTCCCCAGGAGAGAATAAAGCATGTTGTTGTCAATAGGAGCTTATCCAGCTACATGATGCAGATCAATGCAGCAATACATGACGTCCTTAACTACATACAGGATCGCTTCCTTGGTGTGGATGGAGCGTTTGCCAGGTGAACGGAAGCCTGGTCTTCGATCCCGGCGCTTCTTATCAAAAGGCGTATAATGACGGTACGTGATACCCAACGTGATGCTCCCCACTTAAAGGATAAATCAAGACTTGTTTGGCTTGGAGTCAGTATAATGTGTCTGAATTGGGTGTCTATGTTAAACTGCGGCAAGGTATCTCAGTGTGCATTAAATCGGCATTAGTCTGGACTACGCGTGTATGTTCAGTATTCTTGAATGCGACGTTAATCCCCATTTCATCCCTTGCCTCGTCTCGCATCGCATCGCATCGCCTCATCCCTCACCTCACCTCACCTCACCTCACCTCACCTCACCTCACCTCACCTCACCTCACCTCACCTCACCTCCACACAAGGTCATCATTACATTGCTTAGGTTCTGGAGGGGGACAGCACCTTCCACCATAGCTTGAATTGCTTCGTTTTTCGCAAGAACATATGACGATTACCTTATAACTGATAACAACTATATGTCGATATAAAATAATTACAAACAAAATACGTGCAATTTCGTTGTTTTTTATCACAAAATGATACCCACATTGAATAGTTTATTGAAACAATGACATATATTACATATATGACAGGTTTTGTCATAAATAACGGTAACAACAGTATAGTGTTAAACTGTATACACAATGTTTCTATGGAGAGACGTGGCTGCAAGCACTTTAGTATCAGTAGTTTTATAACCAGCGGGAAACAAGGGGTCATTGAGAAGATAACAGCCGCAGTTGTTTTACATTGCGAATGCCATCGGGCTAAACCATATGCATATTGACAGAAAGCATCAAATGAATTATGCAGTCCTTCCTGAATATTTGTCAAAAAGCATGGCTTCTGCAAAAGAGAAGTTATATTTATACATTGCCATCAGAAGAGATAAACATGTCATTTGCTAAGAAACTTAAAGTCCTGTTCATCCTGTATGTTCATACTGGGCGTACTGACAGTGAGTGAGTGAGTATGGTTTTACGCCGCTTTTAGCAATATTCCAGCAATATCACACCAGAAATGGGCGTCACACATTGTACCCATGTCGGGAATCGAACCAGGGTCTTCGGCGTGACGAGCGAACGCTTTAACCTCCAGGCTACCCGACCGCCCCGCGTAGTGACAGACTGAACATAGTTCTGGGTTACTGTGTTAATGTTTTATTGTGAATGGTCATTCATAATATCGATGTTTATGTAGATATTTGACAGTTATTTGTATCAAATATAGTTCGTTTTGATGTTGCTGTATTTATCGAGCCCTGTTGACCTTAAGTACAGAACCAGTTCAATATCTCCTTGGTTCTTGTCACGTGTACTGCGCACAGGTCACACAAGAGGGGAAGTAATCCCACGATGGTTGCGGAGAGTAGCTGGATGGGTGACGGTGTTTAGCAGCAGGATTCAAGAGAGTTGTATGGGCTTCGTCCCTGCCCCACACGACAACACGTGTTACATGTGATGTATCCTTGACAGACTTTGTTCGAAATATGCCTCTGTTTACAAAGCGTCCTCGGTAGGAGGAGTGAGTGAGTCATAATTTTATGCCGCTTTTAGCAATATAATAATAATAAGTGCATTTATAATGCGCCAGATTCCATTCACCAAGTGGATGCTCATATCGCTACACTATTATTACCCCGGTCAATGGATCAGTGAGCACTCGATTTTCATTCTCAGCTCCCTGGGGAGTATATAACCCAAATATTCCAGCAATATCACGACGGGGGACACCAGAAATGAGCTTCACACATTGTACCCATGTGGGGAATCGAACCCGGGTCTTCGGCGTGACGAGCGAGCGCTTCAGCCACTAGGCTACCCACCCGCCGCCCTCCCCTGGTAGGATGACATCATATTATGTTGGTTAATCTTCCAGCGCCTCACAGCTTGGGTTGTGTGCGTCCCAGAGTGGTGTTAATGAAAACGCACATTTATCCAATGATCGGGGCAATAATCTAACGCTTTGGGCATGCTTTTTGGTATGGATCTAGCGGATTGTAAATATGCACATCGCCCGTTCACGTTTTTGCAGGGGTGCTGGTGGCATATTCGTCTGAGGAGCCACAATTTGCTGTGCAGAGTACCAAACACCTATGACCGTGGTTTCACTAAAGTGAATCACTTCAGTATTTCCTCCCCCGTTCCTATAACTGAAATGAGGGGCGGTCGGGTGGCCTAGTGGTTAAAGCGTTCGCTCGTCACGCCGAAAACCCGGGTTCGATTCCCGACATGGGTACAATGTGTGAAGCCCATTTCTGGTGTCCCCCGCCGTGATATTGCTGGAATATTGCTAAAAGAGGCGTAAAACCATACTCACTCACTCACTCACTCACTATAACTGAAATGTTGTTCTACTCGGCCTCAAACCAAAATCACTCATTCACTCATGATAGCACAACCTTATCTAACGTCACAAATCGACTAACTTGACAGCATAAAATAATGTTGATGTTGATCCTTTTTTCTGACATGACAGGATGTGTAAATATATTATTTATGTACAGAGAGAGTTAAAAGACACTGCAGTTCTATCACGGTGATTGGTTGTGTCGTTTGTCGTTTAACCTAGCAGTATTCCAGCTATATCATGGCGGCAAATATAACCCAATCTGGACCAGACAAACCAGGGGTCGATATTATGAGCCTGAGAGGATGGAACGACAGCAACGATGCCACTGAGCCTTATCCCCCGATACATTTACTCCTACTCTGTGTGTGTGTGTGTGTGTGTGTGTGTGTGTGTGTGTGTGTGTGTGTGTGTGTGTGTGTGTGTGTGTGAGAGTGTGTGTGTATGTGTGTGTGTGTTACAAGTGTAAATCAACACTTAACTGATCCAATGTTATAAACAGAGTGCAAATCTTCCTTTTTTGATGGCTCTTTGGATAGACATTAATCTCAGCAGAGCCTAAAGGTGAAACTTGGCTGTTATTTTCCCAGTATTTCCTGCCTTCACTGATACACTAAATGTACTTGCAGTCATGTCGGGACGGTTCATCGGCAGGTTCTACTTTTGCAAGGTGAATAAGCAACAGTGAAGGAAACTTATACACAAACAAAACCTAACCAAAGCCTGTCGAGAACACATAGCATCAACAGAGACATTGTATTTCAGTTCAGAAATCAGGATGTAAACACACTCGATTCAGATCCAAATGCAAACCAAACAGAATCGTAGGAAAAGGTCATTCAGCTTTAAGAATATCACATCACATGTCGGCAAAAGGGGATAATCCTATATATATACTACTCAAAAGAAGTTAAGGATCACCTGATTCTTTCATATTACAATAGTTAATCTCTCATGCCATGACAGATAATCATTACCAATATGAAAGAATTGGGTGATCCTTAACTTCTTTTGAGTAGTTTATATATATATATATATATATATATATATATATATATATATATATATATATATGCTCCAGGTAGGATATGGTGGTATTCAGGTGTAGTCAATGGTGACATTGTCATGAAAACAATCACCTTTCCTGTTTTCCTCATGCAATATATGAGAGGAAGAATTCTTCCTTCACCTTTTATCCTGAATGTTATTGGTGGATGTATAAAATGCAATTATATTTCCCATGAGAATGACTCGTAAACGTCTCGATCATTCAGGGCAACAGGTCAACATAGGTTCACACCATTGTCACGAACAGATGAAGAGTCATTCTTCAGACCAGACACATCCATGCTCCTCCGGTGCTCCCAGTATTGTATCACAGATGTCTTGTTAGTGCGATACTTCAAAGAACACTCCGATTGGAAATCTGTCACAGAATATACATTCAAATGTTTTCGTTGAGCGTCAGTTGCTGCACACCACAATCTTGTTACCATAAAATCAACACACTTTATCTTGCCACGCAGGCAGTTTCACAAACATATTTCTTTACTTCAAGGTGGATATGTGTCAGCAAATGCTTTGATCACCAATATATGTCAGTGCTTGCTTCATTGACAACGTATGGTCATTGTGAGAGACCTTGGTCACCAAGGTGTTGATGACTTGCTTCATAGACTAAGAAAGAAGAAAATAGTGCTAGACTGACCAGTAGTTAGGAACGAGGTCAGGTGCTTGCTTCCTGGTCAACGCATGATGCTTCGGTAAAGGACCATCCTGTTGTCATCAACGGAGACATATTATTTGCTTCCTGTATCTCGGTCATATTTTTTCTCTTGCACCTGCTAAGGTAGATTAGCTTGAACACTCTTCGAAAATTTTCCCCGAAAAGCAGATAAATTAAACAATTCAGTGAAAAGTTGAAGTAAAAAAAGGTCTCAAATACTCTTTGAAAAACAAGATCGTGAATAGATGGCACTTGATGATAGAAATAGTTTAATATCACTAGCTTCATCCGAATCACGTGGCTGGGTGTGTGTAAACATAGGAATATGATGGACACAGCGAAAAGAAATCGGCTAACTTTGCCTTCTGGGGTGCTTGAACACAGTTTTCTGTTTCCATTTTGAGCCAGAACTCGAAGACGCATTTTCCTTTTGTAAGCTTGCAGTGCACTGATCATTATGGCAAGAACCAGAAAAAACATAAGAATTGTGGGGAGGATAAGTGTTAGACAAGTGTCGACATACGTCATTGAAAGTGCAATATTCTGAAACTTTTTCAGAGACTGGCATTTCAGATTTTTGTCTTTGACTATCCCAGTTGTCCACAGCGGAAAGGAGTACAGTAAACAAGTAAATATCACCAATAAACAAATTAACAAAATCGCCTTTTTCTGACTGCAAAATAATGGAATCCGCCAAGGTTGAGATATTCGTATAAAATTTTCGATGGTTATTATCACTACAAACCACACGGACAGAAACCCACAAACGTAGCTCAGGAACACAGTCGTCTGGCATATTCCTTGGGTATTAAGAATGGGCACATTAACACGATACAACCACACGACGAAGAGGGATAGCAGGAAACCAATATCACTTATAGTTTTGGCAGCCAAGTACAAGCAACATGATGTTCCCCGCAGTGTCGAGCTCAAGAACGTCCCAGCAGCCAAAACGTTTCCACAAATTCCAAATAAGCAAATCAGGGGAATGAGAACTGTCTGTAGCCGTCTCATGGTGACGTAGAAGGGTGACACTTCCGGATCGCCTGCTGTCGTATCGTTGGCTCCAGTCATTGTCACGTCTTCAGTGTTAACCTGACCGGAGAGGTTAGAGCCGTTGGTAAACACTGTTTCCAAAATGGCGGCCATCATATGATGTCGTCTGCTTGTTGAGTGTCGTCTGCTGCGAGGGTGTCGGGAGAACTCTTCTCTGGGGGTCGTTCAGAGAAATGTGGGAATGTCTCCTGCACATCCGGCAGCGACGGTGCCATCGTTCAATCTAATTATCGGCTTCTGTAAAGAAAGAATAGATCCCGTCAGATTGATGATAGCGTCTTTTCTAAATCAGGCATATTACCTTGAAATGGGACTTGTTTTATAATTACACAGCACGTGGAGAAACGAATATAACATACAGACAGCTGATGAAGAATATGAAATTGTAGACGGCCCTTGCTAATATCATTCACTGTTTGCTTCGTATGGTGTCGAACATTTGATATTCTAGGGGATGTTTGGTATATTTTTGAAAATAATGTTTTTTTCAAGAACGAGCTGAAAATAAATTATTTTGCCTCTGCTACAATCTCATTAAAATCAGATCTTAGATCTCGCTACCGCTAAACAAAGATCTGAGGACATCCCATTACGGGTCACGTCAGAACGACCTTTCATCCAACCAATCAGAGCGTCGCTTACCACATCATGAAAGTGACTGTCAGAATGTGTTTTCTAATAATGCAGCCACGAACTATTTAACACGGGGTATTCCGAACGACAGTATAGGTTTTATGATGATACCCATGCAATCTAGGCCATCTATAAGCCATTCCAGAATATTTTATCAGTTTTATTTTTTTTTAATCGAGAATACGTCAAAATATGTTTCGAAGCGTAGTCGCCAGTTTGAAACTAGTGTCATAAAGCTCGAGAAAGCTGCCTTCTGATTGGCTAATGTCGATTTCATGTCAGTCATTTCATTGGTCGGTCAAAATTCGCGAAAGGTCGTTCTGATGTGACCCATAATGGGATGTCCTTTGTTTAGCGGTAGCGATAACTAAGATCTGATTTTAATGAGATTGCCTCTGCTACGAGTGTTGATATTTGATATCAAGGGTCACGAGATTCAATTTGTCATCCAAAAACATTCTTCCAACTGATCGGTTTGCAATCGGTAATAACCAATGTCTTGGGGATAAAAAGTACAGCTAACAAGCTTAATGGCAAAGAGATTAGTCGTTTGTTTGTAACATCATGGAACGGTTGACGTCACAATGGTCTCTGAAGCAGTGTGATGCAATTAACTGTAACGATATCTCCTGTGGATGTCAATTTGGGGATGACAAAAAGATGTTAGAGACACAATTTATGTCAGAGACAGAACGTGTACACGGCACATTCTTTTCCGGGATATCTAGCATGTCTAGTGAAGAACTAGACATGCTAGATTTCCCGGAAAAGAATGTGCCGTGTACACGCTCTGTCTCTGCCATACATTGTGTCTCTAACATTGAATTATTGCTCCACAATATGGTATGAGAGAACGAAGCCTTATAAGTTTACATTGAGGTCTCAGATTCAGGGCGTACGCAGAATTGACTTATGTTCATCATGTGCATATATGTGGCATTGTAGTAGTAGTAGTAGTAGTAGTAGTAGTAGTAGTAGTAGTAGTAGTAGTAGTAGTGGCAGTAGCAGTAGTAGAAGAGGTAGCAGTAGTAGTTGTGAGTGAGTTGTGTTTTTAACGCCGCTTTTAACAGTATTCCAGTTATATCGCGGCGTGTCAGCTTAATGTGGGAGGAAAGCCCGAAGTGATGCAGGTCTCAGACGCTTACCACGTCGGTGAAACCCACGAGCACGGGTATGGTGCTGACAAACCTAGAAACATAATCGGGGCGAACCGGGATTCGAACCCACAATCATAGGTTTCTGGCGTGCCCAAGGGACGCAACTCTGCACAGCGAATCGCGGCGCCTTAGACGACTGGGCCACCCGTACCCCCCTCCCCCCCCCCCCCCCCCCCCCCCCCCCCAGTAGTAGTAGTAGTAGCAGTAGTAGCAGTAAAGTTAGCAGCAGTAGTAACAGTTGCAGTAGCAGTAGTAATAGTAGTAGTGGTAGCAGTAGTAGTAGAAGTAGTAGAAGAAGCAGTAGTAGCAGTTGTAGTAGTAGTAGTAGTGACAGTAGTAGTTGCAGTAGCAGTAGCAGTAGTAGTAGTAGTAGTAGCAATTGAAGTAGTAGTAGCAGTAGTAGTAGTAGCAGCAGTTTTAGTAGTAGTAGCAGTAGTAGTAGTAGTAGCAGTAGGAGTAGTAGTAGTAGCAGCAGTAATAGTAGTAGTAGTAGTAGCAGTAGTAGTAGTAGTAGTAGCAGTAGTAGTAGTAGTAGCAGTAGTAGTAGTAGTAGTAGCAGTTGTAGTAGTAGTAGCAGTAGTAGTAGTAGCAGTAGTAGTAGTAGTAGCAGCAACAGTAGTAGTAGTAGTAGTAGTAGCAGTAGTATTAAAAGTAGTAGTAGTAGAAATAGTAGTATAAGTAGAAGTAGAAGAAGCAGTAGTAGCAGTTGTAGTAGTAGTAGTAGTAGTAACAGTAGTAGCAGTAAAGTTAGCAGCAGTAGTAACAGTTGCAGTAGCAGTAGTAATAGTAGTAGTGGTAGCAGTAGTAGTAGAAGTAGTAGAAGAAGCAGTAGTAGCAGTTGTAGTAGTAGTAGTAGTGACAGTAGTAGTTGCAGTAGCAGTAGCAGTAGTAGTAGTAGTAGTAGCAATTGAAGTAGTAGTAGCAGTAGTAGTAGTAGCAGCAGTTTTAGTAGTAGTAGCAGTAGTAGTAGTAGTAGCAGTAGGAGTAGTAGTAGTAGCAGCAGTAATAGTAGTAGTAGTAGTAGCAGTAGTAGTAGTAGTAGTAGCAGTAGTAGTAGTAGTAGCAGTAGTAGTAGTAGTAGTAGCAGTTGTAGTAGTAGTAGCAGTAGTAGTAGTAGCAGTAGTAGTAGTAGTAGCAGCAACAGTAGTAGTAGTAGTAGTAGTAGCAGTAGTATTAAAAGTAGTAGTAGTAGAAATAGTAGTATAAGTAGAAGTAGAAGAAGCAGTAGTAGCAGTTGTAGTAGTAGTAGTAGTAGTAACAGTAGTAGTTGCAGTAGCAGTAGCAGTTGTAGCAGTAGTAGTAGCAGTTGTAGTAGTAGCAGTTGTAGTAGTAGTAGCAGCAGTAGTAGTAGAAGTAGAAGTAGTAGCAGTAGTAGCAGCAGCAGTAGTAGTAGTAGTAGTAGTAGAAGTAGAAGCAGTAGCAGTATTAGTAGTAGTAGAAGCAGTAGCAGTAGCAGTAGTAGTAGTAGTAGAAGCAGCAGTAGTAGTAGTAGTAGTAGT